TTTTTTTTTAATTCGACTCCTACACAGCTAATTTCGTGTTGTTTGATATAAAAATTTGCGCCATTCATGTAAAATAAGCAGAAAAATTATCCTTAAAATATTAAAAATATATTGTCGATTCTTTCAGAAACACTTTTCAGGCTATTGTACATCAATTGTTTTTTATTAAAAAAATAACGCAATTAGCTGTGTAGGAGTTGAATTTCAAAAAACTAATTCGTAATCGTTATTGCACACATTTCTTCAAAAATTAAAAAAAAGTCTATAGTTTAAAAATTGGAGGCCCTGGACTATTTTTAACATTTTAAACAGAAGTTCAATAGAAATCCTATAAAATTTTCTATCGCATTTGCTACGTTTTTCTACAAAACAATTTCATCAAACTATTTTTAAACTATTGAACAGAAGTTCAATAGAAATCCTATAAAATTTGCTATCGAATTCGCTATGTTTTTCTGTAAAGCTATTTCGTGCGCGATTTTTCCAAACAATTTGAAGAGTGACGCCAGCGCCATCCGGCGAGGAATCTGGTAAATTCTCTCACACGGTCGAACGAGAGTCAAAACAAAACAGTGCGATCGCGTTCAATGGCGCGTGGATAGTGTCTCTCGTTGCCTCTACCGAATAAAACGCGACTAATAGTAACAATAACATCTATTTCGTCATCAAACTAATTCATTCAGCGCGCAAACTTCTCTCGACGCGAATAACCCTCTAAATCCGAGTGAGAAACTCCAACTATCGAGTGATATTCACAAGGAGACTCTCAATCACCATTGTTATCTCAAAATTGTTCGAGAATGACAGATGTGAACGGAGACGTGAAAAAAACCGTCTCCTCAGTTCAGACTTTGAATGAACTCACGGTAAAGAAAGGACAGTTCCCAGACTATCAGTTGATTCACGATGGAACTGAGAGAGGTGATGGTATTTTCACGTACGAAGTCATGTGTTTTAGTCACAAGGCATCAGCATCGGGGAATTCGAAGAAAATTGCGAAACAGAATGCCGCAACCGTGATGCTTAATCTCATCAAGCAGAATGATGATAAAATTCCGAGTAGTGCTGGCCAACAGACGACACCAGAGATGTGGTGAACGACTCTACCAATTAATGTTCTGCAGGTAAATTAATTAAATATTGGGTGGTCAGTAGGGATGGGCGATGTTTTAAAAAACATCGATTATCGAAGAATCTATCTTCTGCAAAAAAATTTTGAAAAAAAAACCTCTGCAACTCAAAAATTGGAGGCCCTGGACTATTTTTAACATTTGAAGCGTCTGCGGGGCAAACGAACAGCAAACAATAAATTTTTCTGCACTAATTATTCATTTTTCGACACATATAGTCGATCTTCAATGTGTGAGAAATATCATTAATGGCCCGCGGCTTTTAAAACTCATAGTAGTCTCCCCTTAAACTCTGGCTAAATCCTGAGTAAACCCTAATTAAATCCCGCCTATTCACCGATCAAACCTTGATTGAACCTCGATTAAACCCGGACTGAAAACGAATTCCAGTCTTGAGAGGGTCTGAATGTAGAATTCAGTAGCGAAGCGGTAAACCGGGTTAAGTCGATTTTTACTATTGGCTAGTTGTTGACGAATATCTCGGAATCTAAAAGAGATAGAAAGATTTTTGTCATAACCTTTTTTGTAGAGCCAATAGAGCGTTATAAAAAAAGTCATGAGAAAAATTTTGCTATCTCTCTTAGATTCCGAGATATTCAGCAAAAACTGGCTAATAGTGAAAATCGACTTAACTCGGCTTACCGCTTCACTACTGAATTATTTGACAGAACGAAATAACACGCAAAATTTTGATGACATTTCAATTGATGATAGTACTATGACCTGAAAAAATAGAAGAAGGGAATAGTGAAAAAGAATTATAAAAAAGGGAATCCACTCGAAAGCAAATTGCTAATTTATTAGTAACAATAACTGTACTCTTTCATAAAAAAATGTAATAATCCACTCTTTTTTTTCATGTTAGCTCGTTAATCTCGAAACTGTATCCGTCTATATATAATATCATTAACACCATAAAAATCGTGTAGTATCGTAATTT